TTAGTGAATGTTATCAAAACAAGTGTGGACAAATGAGATCACAATTAAGTAGTGCCTACTGTAGAATCTACATATGTACTTGATTGTTTTATTTATTATCAAATGTTTTTACTAATAAAAATATCAATTTTTTGGCAACTCTGTAAGGATGACCAGTTTCAGCGATTAATTTTGGTATTTCACAAAAAGTTTTAGACCATGACAAAAATGCAAATCCATTGTTTTCTTGGTAGCTATGAATTCTTTTTTTAACTTATAAAGAAATGTGTTAGCGTTTTTACTGTGGATGTGTTCATTTCAACGTTAAGTCTGTAAGCGGCAACGCCATATATATATATATACGGCTTAGAATATTTTTTGTGATATCTGTAAGAACGTATATCTATATGTGCATATTAAAATATGTCAAAGAAATTAAGGCAATATGTCAAAAGAAAACAAATCCATGTATGAAATACCAGGAGAGTTTTTACATTAAAATAAAAAATAATTTGTTCTCATAGTAGTTTTGGGAAATTTGTGTTTTCTTAGCAAAAACCCTGGCTGCTCAGAGGGTTAAAGTTCTGATAGAGCAGGTTTAGAACATTACGTAATGCATAACATATAGAAATTTGCCCTCAGTGTTGTTTATGGAACCAAAATGTATGTAACTTCTCTGAATACACTAGAATATAGGCCATCTCCTTTTATGTAAAAGTAGGAAACACTGTATAGTGTGAACGCCATTCTTAGAACTCATGCCTCAAATTCAGTAAATACAAAAGAAAGGAAAGAAAAAGAAAGAAAAACTCTGTCCTCTGATATTTAATTTAAGCAAAGCAAACAGAAGTACAGGCATGTGCAAATGATTTGGCACTTTATTTTCAGCTATATTCCTGCCACCATACTGCCTTTGTATGGTTTACTATGAGCAATGAGACAACAATGACTGTGACATTGTAGGGTGTTGCTGATGCTGGTGGAGAGTTTTTTTTATTTTTATTAAATGAATTATATAATAAGTAATCCCAGTTTATCATTGTTTACTTCTATTCTATAGTTTCACATACACACACACAAATCCTAGATTTTCATTTTTTAAAAAGTGATTTGACATTATGTTTCCAGGGATCTGGTTCTGGATTTGAATTTGCCATTTGGGAAATGCTGATCTAAGTAGTTCATTTCTACAGCACATTCATTGAATTCAGCAATTCAATGAGGTTAATTACTGAAGAACTCGCAAATAAAATGGTCTTCATTGTATAGAAGAATCTTGAATGCACATAATTTGCCTTATTCAACTGTAGTTTGTGAACTGAAATTTATGTTATCATCCCTATTTCATTGCACAGCACAGAATATTCTTGAATTCAGTAGATGAGATTGTATTAGATTTGTAAATTTTACATACTTGTGCATAGTTGCAGTTAAAAGTGGCATTTTCTTGATGGCCAGTGCTTCTTAGTGTATGCTGTCTATGCAGTCTTGTGCTGAAACTTTTATCCTGATGAAAGCTCTTCAACACTAATGATTTTGCTGAACAAAATAATAGTTGGACTTAACCTACTCTTTTACACACACACGCACAAAAAAGAGACAGCAGGCACAGCTCAGGTAAAAATACCGAGTCTCTCTTCTAATTATTCCTTTGCTGTTGTCTTTTTACTTCAATGAACACACATCACACTGTCTTGTGGGTCCTAGTTTTTTTTTTTTTTTTTTTTTTTTTTTTTTTTTTTTTCGGTAAGTTTCTGTAGGTCATTTCTAAAAATTTTTTTCTGCAAGTCTCAGTACAGGTAAATATCCAGAAAAACTTTTCTTTAACTTTTTACTGTTGCATGCCTTTCAATTTGTCAAATGGTAGTATCCATTCAAAACTGTAAATTTATATCTTCACCCCCCATGGTTTTTCTACTAATATCAAAATCATCAAGAAAACTTTCAGTAATACTAGACTTACTTACAGACATTTCAGATTTTGATACTGAATCACAGGAAATTAGCTGCTCTTAAGAATCTGCAGTTATTAATGGTAAAAAAAAAGCTTCAACGACTACGTCAATAAAGTTATCAAACCAGCACTAAAATACATGCAAAAAGTTAAGCACTGAAAAATAAAAACTTGCTAATACATACAAATAATGTGAAACAAATGCACGCTAGTGGATATCTAGTGCCATTTATGTGATTAATTTGATATTAAAAGTAGAAAATATGCAGGCAAAGCAATAAAAGAAACAGAGGAATGAGACTGCCTGTACAGTGTGCGGATAAACCAGCAAAGATCTGAAAGCAGTGCACATTCAAAACAGGCAAGTGGTTCATCACAAAATTTTGCTGTTTACTTGTGATATTTGAAAATTTCATAGTTGCGGTTTTTCATCAACACCGGATTTTATATTGAAATATTTTTGAAATTCTTGGGTAAATTTGCTCCTGCACCAGCTTTTAAAAAGCTATTTTATTTGCATTTTAGCGTGTGCAAATTTCTGATATCCATTGGCTGATTTATAAATGCATAGTTTCAGTGAAGGAGTAAAACATTATCATTTTTTAAAACTGTGATTTTATTAGTAGTAATAGATGAACCGAAATACAGTGGTACCTGGTATACACCCGCTTTTAGATATATCCAACTTCGTATATGTACTTCTTGGACATGAAAAGTTTTGGCATGTGACTCAAATTGGATGAGTTATGTCTGAGCACACTATACTTGTTTACTCCTTTTGAGACAATGGTATGACTGCCCATGAGCATCAGAATGCCTTTTGCTACTTTTCAGTAAAGAGCTTGCACTATAATTGAATTTTCAAAATATTTGTATTTTTGCATGTAGATCTTTTGCAAAATGAGTGTTAGGAAAGTTAATGAGAAGTAAAGCAAAGGAGAAAATTAAGATAACCATAAAGATGAAAAAAGAAATTATTGAAAAGTATAAAGATGGCATGTGTACCCAGGATTTAGATATTGGATACCACAAGGCAAGTACAATGGTGCCTATGATCATGAAAAATGAAGAGGCTTTTAAATTGGCTAACGTTGCAATGGGGCTGAAATTGGTTATCAAACAAAGATCAGAGACATTAGAGCATGTTAAAGAGTTCTTTTGATTTGTATTGCAGAATGCATTTTTTTTACAGTGCTTCATTTATGCACAGTAAATATTTCACAATCTATCGACACAACCTTTGAGTTAACATTCCTAGATTTTCCTAGATTTTTTAGAGAAGTTTTTTTTTTTTCATTTTGAATGTCTGGATTTCATACTTTCTACTGTATTACATGATGCTGAAATTATATTGTGGTGTGGTATTGCTTTATTTTTCATATATACTGCTGGCTGGCCATTAAAATAGGAACACCAGGAAGGAATGATCTGATGAAAGTCAAAAATCACATGAAGGGAAGAAGAGGTTGGTGGGATATGCAAATAATTAGTATTTCAGCACATTTGGACGACGCAGGAGGGAGAAATGACATCTGAACCCACTGCATAAAAGAAAAGTTTTGCAGTCGATTTCTCATTCGGAAAGTGCTTTGTAAGTTCAGAGTTTGCTCTGTTTTTGTTTGAATATCATGTTATGTCTCGAATAAGAATAAAAAATGCTTACCAGCAAGTGTCGAAATTCAATAGAGGCAGGATTAGTGCCTATCGGGAGTGTGGATTATTGTTCCGTGATATTGCCCGTCGCACTGGTGGACATCCAACCACTGGCATGCTAATGTGAAATAAATGGGTTGCTGAGGGTCATACTGAACAACATGCAGGATCTCAATGCTCTCCCATGACTAATGCCCGAAAGGAAAGACATATAGTGAGGTCAGCTCTTCAAAACCATACAACCACATCATGTACCATTAGTCAGGAAGTGGGAATGTCTGCAGCATGCCCAGTATCTGCTCGTACAGTGTGTCAGTGTTTGCTGCAGCACGGACTATCAGCATGGCGACCATTATTTCGGCTTCCCTTGACAGTGCAGAATAGAGAGAGATGATGACTCTGATGCGCTGAATGACAAAACTGGATACAGGAGTGGCACAATGTTGACCTTTCATAGGAGTCCCGGTTCTGCCTGCAATATTCTGATGGCCGTATGAATGAGTTGCCCGTTTCTGTCATTCAACCCCACCTCGACTCCATGCCTAACAGGGTAAGGGTGGTTTTAGCTGTCAGGGGTGGCAGCTGTTCCTACTTATTTTGCACCCTGTAAATCCCAAACTGCTTACAAATTTAATCCTTTTGTCTTCATGCTACATTGTTTACATACAATAAATATGTTTTATATTTATTTTCCTTCATAGTGTTGCAATTTTAATGGCAAGCAGTGTAGTAGAACCATATGTTTTTTGCAAATTAAGAAGGTGCAGCGGTAAGTTGTACATTTCATGGGGTAAAAAATCTCCTTGAAACTAAGTGATAAAGTTATTTTCTTCAGTTCTCAATTTTTCATCAATTAATACCTGAAACTAATCTAAACTTGTTGCTGTAGCTTTTTAGCATGCCATCCCAAAAAATCTCTTTCTGGACGTAGGTACATGTTTTGTTGAAAGGACTTAGCCAAAGAATATTAAAATATAATTATATTGTAAATACAAAAAGGGAGAAAATGGTTGATTTTATGCAGTTCACTAGTTAGGTATCAAATGTTTTTCAACATTCTTTTGTTATCTACTCTAAGAGTCATTCAGATTACATTTTATGGGTTGCCACATTTTGTTTAATGCTGTATTGATAAATCTTAGGATATGTGGGAGAATAAGCTTACAACAATGAAAAATTCCTAGTAGTAGTAGTACAAAATATTGTCCTGAATGTTGAAGCATGAAAATGTAGCTGAAATAAATTGAATTTTATGTAGTGTAATGTATTGTGTGAGCTCATTTATACATGTATGCAATGAAAAGTTTTTCTGTATCTGATATATTTTCTAATTTTTATTGGTAATTCTTGGAATTTTTAATAGTTTTTTTAAACATTTTCTGATAATTCTCTGAATTTTTTAATGCTATTTCAGGGGATGATTTTGCTATTATACAGCAAGAGATACTCATGATGAAAGGTTGTAGACATCCTAATATCGTGGCGTATTTTGGAAGCTATTTGAGGTAATGCATCTATAAAGTGAACTGAGCACATATACAAAATTAGTCAGAAAAATATCTGGAATATATTTTGTATTTAGTTGTCAATTCATAAATATTCATAAATAATTTTTGTTGAAATAATTCATAATAATTTTTTCATGAGCCATCCAGACGGTATAGTGCTTAGGGGAGCTGACTGCAATACCGTAGGGCCCGTGTTCAAATCCCAGAGAAGGCATGGATGTAAATTGTCTGTCCCTTTATAGGAAGTAACGGTGACCACCTATTGTAACAGTGGCCACCTATTGTAACGGTGGCCACCTATTAGGTGCCTCCACAATAAAATGGCCACTTCTTCTGGCCTTAGTTGTCAATGTTGAAAAAAGAAAAGTGCCTACCGTTCGATAAAAAAATTTTTTTTTTTTTTTTTTTTTCCATAAATACTTTTTGGTGAATTCATAAATCTTTCTTTGTTGAGACAGGATACGTGTTTCTCAAAGATGTAATAAGCTTATATATTTCAGATGACTGCAAAATTTTGTGTTCAGTTTTTGTGTCATCTGGTGACACAGAAACACCAATGTCACCAGATGACACTGGTGTTTTTTCCATGACCATGTGGTTGATGGATAGGTAGAAGCTTACTTAATATTTTAGAGATAGATATTTATTTCTGTCTGAATTGGAAATAAAAATTTTTTTATTCTTTTCCTGAGAGGTATAGTAAATCTGGTCGTCGAAGCTGGGAAGTTAGTCACAGTGCTTAATATGAGCCCCAGTTTTTCCAGAGTTGTTCAAGTGGGTAAACTGGGACTTTCAAACATTTTTTGTCATACCATGTCCAAGATATATGGGTATGTTGTTCTGAAAGCTGTATAGTGAAGCCATTATTGTTATCTGCCAGATACCAATCCTGTACAGTCCTTTTGTGAAGCTGTCATCCTATTGCTACTATGTTTGGCTCACTGAAAAAATAATCATATTGGGTAATTTTTTCTCTGCCTTCATGCCAGTTGATTCATTAGCATAATTTTTCCAATTAGTTACAGAATTTGGGCGTTCATTCTTATTTACTACAAACAACACTTACAAGCAGTTCAACTAAGCATAGCCAAGTAATATACAATATATATATTTTGCATATTTCCTTTGTGTTTTTGTCCTATGCTGGATTTATTGGCTGTGAATTCTCTATAATTTGCACATCTGGCTGAAATGTGTTTGTTTAGTTTTGAAATTATGAGATGATTTTTCTTGAGTGGTTCCCTTTATTTATTGAGAGATAGGATATGTAGAGCTGAATATTAGTAACACAGCTTCTGTATGCTTAAAAATAATTTTTAAATGTAGAAACAGAATATATTGATTTTTTTATCATATCACATTTTATGTTTAAATTTCATTAATTAAAACTCATTTTAGGCGAGATAAATTATGGATATGCATGGAGTACTGTGGAGGAGGATCTTTACAAGATATATATCACTGTAAGTTACTTATTTTTTAGCATTCAGAACTTTTCCTGTTGGTATTAGTAGCAATATGAAATATACAAGAGGAAATTTTAATTTTGTTGGTATATCTGGTATGTTTTCTTTAGTAACTGGGCCTTTGTCTGAGCTGCAGATAGCATATGTGTGCCGTGAAACTCTAAAAGGATTAGCATACCTTCATTCAATGGGGAAAATGCATAGAGATATCAAAGGAGCAAATATTTTATTAACAGAAAATGGAGATGTGAAACTAGGTATTAAGTTATATTTTTATTATTTTTTGTAGATTTTATTATTTTTTAAATTTTGACAATTGCATTTTCCGTAGGAAGTGAGAAATTATCATCAGCATACAAATATTAGCATATTGAAAATAATAAAGTATTTATTCATTCATATGCTGCGTATACAGTTATTAGGTTATAAATATAATAAACTGGAAAGTCTGAATTGCATAAATTTTGGTGTGAAATTTATTTAAGCAAGATTCTTGCTGCTATTTATTTAACTGATCAATTTTTATTATTTTTTATTGATAAATACTGTCTTGTAATGTTTTTCATACCATTAAATTTTACATTGTTTTGTAGTTGTTAAATTTAGAAATCAAATAAAATTAAAACTTTACATTCAGGTTGCTTAAATGATAGATTCAGTTCTACAATCTGGGGGAAAAAACTTGGAGTTCAAACATGTTCAAAACATAATTAATAATATGACACTGTCATGGGGAGCATGTTATGCTGTCCATACAGTATGGCTGTGAATATGATATAAATAGATTTCGCCATTAACTTGTAAATTTTGTTTGTATAAAATCACTGAAGATATAAATTATTTAATGCAAATAATGCATTCTATTTAAAAGGTGAAAATTCAAAAGTTTTAATAATTTTTCATTGGCATATTTGTAAATTGAAGCTCTCTTTTTTTTTTTCCCTATTCTCAGCAACCCTTAAATTGTACTACTGTTTTGAGTAAGCTGTTAGAATTAAATTCAGCTAATTAGAAATGAAGATCCAGTTCTAATTCAGTTAATTAAAAAAATAGATTTTGGTTCTTTTGGAGTGGGAGGAGACTAACTAAAATTTGAAATTATGGATTACAAATTTATGTTCTGTGTTTATATTATTTTAATGTTTTAATTAAAACGGCTAAAAGTGATTTTTACTTATACATGTTATGGATAGCACCATTCCTAATATATTTTAGCAAAACTGGTTTAAATAATTTCGAAACCCCTTCAAGCTGGAATATGCGAGCCTCCTTGTAGGGTGACCTTTAAAATTCCATTTTCTATAGTTATATAATATGTTAGCACTAAATTTTATTTCAAAATAAAATAAAAGAGGTTTTTTTCATAGTATATTTTGTGTATTAGTTTTCAAACTTAAGTTTTTCATATTCAAATGAAATACAAGCAAAGTAAAAACCTCTAATGTGAAACACACTTTCTGTAAATTGCATTCATGCATGCCTCAAAAGAAATTTGCTGTTTGAAATTTCTACATTTGGTGTCGTTGAATTGAACACGTTCCTGTAAGTATATAACAAATTCTTTTGTAATTTTTTTTCCTTTTTGAAATCCATTCACCTGGATTATTCAGTAACACTTAGTGTCATTCTAGTTCACATTTGCATGCCTTCTTGTTGAATTACTTTATTAACTGCATTGACATGAATAAAGATATTGTACCAGATCACAAGATATAACAAAAATATAAAAGTCATAGTTTCTTTTAACAAACTAGATGTCTCACGGAAACAAGTGGAAATAGAATTTTCTTTAAGTTGTTCTAAGACACGTATTCTTAAATTTATATATAACAGATTTAGTATTTACAATTCTCAGGGTTCAAATAAAACATTGGCAAGCTGAAAGTATGTCAAGAAATTTGGATCCTTTCCCCAGGTGTTCATCAAAATTGGGAGGAAATTTCCCTTTGTCATGGGCGTGGTTTGATTGCTCTGTGTGATGATGCACCCTGGGCATTGTTCTCGACGATGAGATAGCTAAATGACCAATGGTTATTGCATATGACAATAGCAATATGACTTATAAAAAATTTTAAGAACTTCATAGATGTGGGAACTACATTAAGTCTTTCCCCTCACACACAGAGTGCAGTTTTTGAAGCAATTTTAGTGCGATTTTTAAAGTTTTAATTGTAATCTTAAAAGACAAATTCATGCAATCAACAGAACAAGATATGTAAATGAGCTCGTGGGTTCTCTTTTAAAAAATGCATGCATGTATCCCTTTTTTTTACCTTTCAAATTTTCATTATTGTATGACTGTTCACAGCAGTCTGCAAGATACCCTAAGATTAAGATTATATAAAGCAATAATTTATTGAGCATTGTTCCAGTATGTGTGATATTTCCTATTTCAAAATATCAAAACAAATATTCTTAAATTGTAACTGATCTAGATATACATCAGTATAAATCATATTCAGCTTTTCTTTATGACTTATGTTTGGAGTGCACTCTAGAACTGATAGAACAACTGATTTTAATTTTTGTTTCTGATACTTTTTTTTTTATATAAATATACAGTTTTTCATTTTTAATATCCTTGCCAATCTTCTCACTTCAGTATTCATCTGAAATGTTTATTTACTGTCATATTAGGCAATTAATTCAAGTTCTTTGAGAAAGTTTTGATTGACTGTATCTCCTAGCTTCTCATGATAACCCCTTAAAGGAAGATTTTTCTGTCCTGGAAGAATAATTGAGAACAAGCTCTCTATAGCTAGTTTCTGTCTTTTTTCTTCCTTCTCATTTTGATCTTGCATTTCTCTATCTATTGAATTTTGAGTTTTGTACTCTTAGAGGCACTTTTTTTCCATTGGCACATATGATCTGTTTGATTTTGAGTTAATTTGTGATTAGAGAGAAGCTACAAGACTTTTCCAATTTCTGTACTCATGTCTGACAAGAGAGTTACAATTAGTATTAAAATATTTGTACAAATAGCAATACACAGTGTCCTTTTTCTCTAAATATTCAAACCAATAATGCTTCAACTTCTCACAGCTGGAAAGCTAGTGAGAGAAGTGATGAACACTAAAACATCTTGTTCCTTTATCTGTGGGAAATAATTTGCTCTTCACAATAAATATCTCTATGTTTATTGAAGACAACTTGTGTCATAGATATGGTAACTGATTGATGCAACTTTAGACTGTTTATTTGTCTTGCAGATTAGGAAAATACAGAATGAGAATTTCAAGCATTATAATTAATCCCATTTTTTACATTTTGATGACTGCAGAATTAATAAACATAATATTTGCTAACTGAAAAGCTGTTTCCATACAGATGACAAATATTCTGTATGTCAACTGCCAATTTCAGAGGATGATTTTTCATTATTATATGTAAAAAATGTCAGTATGTTAATTTTTGGCGAGATTAGTTCTTTTATAAACCTTTGTATACTTTTAGTATAGCAAGTCTTTGTCATAATAAGCAAAAGCCATTTTCTGTATCTGCATATTTAATGAACTGTAGCCGTGAGAGGATTTTTTGAGTTCTTATTTGAAGTTTCAGAGGTGTACCTGTATTTTTATTTGTTACAATGTACTATTTAAATATCTGTATTTTAATTTCCTAAATTTGCATGATTTGTACTAATATATTAGCAATGAATATTGTTAGAAATCTTAATTGTAGATTTTAATTAATTCTGTATGAGTCTTTATGTGATGGGAATCCTCTGATTTAGCATATAAATTTGGTTGATAAACATCATGTTAGGTAGTTTATTTGGAGAAAAATCATGTATTCAGCTACCATATTGTGTGGAAGCTCTTTTTTTCTTTATTTTGAAACCATGTCATTCATGTTGCTGGTATTTAAAATGTTCATCTCTAAATCAGGCACTATATATATATTTAAAATGAAGTCATTCTTGAATAAGAGTTGATCTTGCTTTATAGTTAATATTTCAAAATTCACACATATAGAGAAAACTTATTCTCATATTATGTTATGGATTCATACCACATATTTTAGAACTCCAGGCACTAAGTTCTAAAAAACTGGACCACAGCATAACCAGATAATAAAAAAAATCCTGATTGTTTTTTTAATTTCCTCCTCATCATATTTGGTCATCAGTTCTGCTTGTCCAAGAAAGTTTTGATAGACTGGATTTCCAGACCTTCATGGTCGCTTTTTAAAGGAAGATTTATTCTTGCTGCAAGCATAATGACAGAAAACAATGGAAGTAGAGAGATTGTCTTGAAAGCTAATCTCTCTGTAACTAAATACATGTACTCTACTGCAAGTGAAGAAATTTTTTACTTATCTGGTTTTATTTCATCAGAGATCATAAGGAAAAGTAAACTATTTTCATTTCCTTAAAACTGAATGCAAAACATGCTTTTTTGACAAAAAGGAAAAGAAAAATTGTAAAGCTGGATTCCAAGTAATTGGAGTTCTGTCATAATAGATGGTGATGATAATGATAGGGGGTGTCGAAAGGAGTGTAGTTATAGAAAAGATGGAAAATGCACTTTGAATTTAATAATAAAGGTGTAGAAATTTGGGATTGATAAAGTCTGCTGTTATAATCAAAACCCAAAATTTTTAATTTTCGAATATCCCTTACTCTCAATAGACAGTGTGATTACTGTTTTCTTTTGATAGAGGATATGAACATTATCTTGTATGAATGTCCATTGAGATTGAAATGCCGTTAATGTGGGTGTAACTGGAAGAAAGTAGTTTTATTATTTATAGAAGTAGATACAGTCAAGGCACTTTGTCTTAAAAACTATTTTTTATTATATTTGTCCTGAAAACTATTTTGAACATAGTAAAGGTAGTGGGTGAAGTTTTTTGTATTTACACACAAGTAAAATGTGAAACTTGTAATTCTTGAGAATGATTCTGAAAAGGTTGTGCATTTAAATGCAAAACCAGTTGCATTTAGATGTGGCTGACAACAAGTATTGCATGAATATGTACAGTATGCTGGTGTAAATTATGACTTCGTGTATCAGTATTATGAATGGGCAAATGGTAAAAAAAGAAAAAAAATTGTAATGAAATAAATGTCCGTAGGTAATATTTCACAGCTTTTATCTTGTAAGAGATTATGTACAAACAATCGATGCTGAAACCATGTTTTTCTTTTCTTTTAAAGCATTAAAACTTGGGTGTGCTATTTCTTAAATTTTGTTATCGTTGCCTCTCAATAGTATGTTCTTTTACTTTTCAGCTGATTTTGGAGTTTCAGCCCAAATTACTGCAACAATAAGCAAGAGGAAGTCTTTTATTGGAACACCTTATTGGTAAGTTTGTTTGTTTATAATGTAAACTTTTAAACTTCCTTTTGTTGTGTAAGTAGGTTAAATACAGTGGTAATTTTTGCACAAGAATTCTGTTTTTCTCAGATAATTAAATTAAAGTATATCAATTTTATTGACTGATGGTGATCTGAAGGGAAAAATCAAACTAATGAATAGTATAAGCTAACTCAAAATTATTATGTTTTTGAAGTTTTCAATGGCGTGATGAGCTACATATGAAAAATTTATGCAGCTTTTGCTTCTTATTTCATTAGAATTCAGTACTTTTTAATGTTAAACCAATGACTCCATGATCGCATTTCATTCATTCTGACATAATCATTCTGCTAGAATAAACTGCAATTTTTTTAACTATTCAAGTTTCTGGACAGTTCTGGCATGAATGCAACTGAATAAGTATGGATGAGCCAAAGATTGCCTCGCCACAACTACACAGTGAGTGATAAAGGCTATGCTAGATTAAGTATGAGATGAATATAATGTCATCTCAACATTGCTTATTTAAATCGGAAAGTATTACATAGAATACTTACAAGCTGACAAAACTTTTTCTGTAATGAATCTTTTTTTTTTTTTTTTTTTTAAATCTTTAAAACTACAAGTAAAACAGAGTTGGATGAATCATTCTGAATCATCCTCTGCATTATGCAGAAGGGGATGATTGGTGTGCTGAGAAACTTTTCCACATGCAGTAAAGCAACACGAAGCAGTAATACTTTAGAAAAATTATCTTAGTGTTTCATTATTAAGCTTGATTTGTATGCAAATTTCTATTTCCCTTTACCATTTAAAAGTAATTATTTTCCTGTCATATTATGCTTTTTAGCAAATTCTAGTAAATTATCTAAATGCTGATAAACTCAAACTTGATATGTAGAAGAATTTGCGCTATGTCTTTTATTGGTTAATTTATTCTCCCAAAAATTTCTTTGATGCAAAGTGTTCTCAATAGGAGGACATAAGATAAATAGGAATTTGGAGAGAAAAATAAGCTGCAAAAACAAATCCATCCGAAGAAGCAGTTTTAGACTTTGAAGCATGTTTTTAGAAGTATGTGTATAAAAAGAATATATCAAATGCACAGATACATTAAGATGCTTTAAATAAAGATATTTTTAAGTTAGTATCAAATGTGTGTATTGGGATGATGATACAGATATTCTTTACCTGAGACATACTGCAATTAATTTTATGTTTAAAATGGAAATTTATTGGATGTTTGAATTTAATAAAGTCATTGTTTCTAAGGTAACTTGGAAATTGTAGTTAGGCTGTTTGTTATAGAGGCAGTATATTAAGGATATTACTTGAATATGTGCAGAAACTATTTTTGTATGAGGTCTTGTGAAAAAAATAAGGAAAATGTAAAATGTTCCAAACAAGTTTAATTAGCAGCAGTTCATTTTTAAATTAGCTCATGATGTGGTTAAATACTACCCATATATATATATGTACTGTTCAAATGACATGCTTCTAAGAGTTTAATTGTGGAGATAAGTGTATTTTTTTTTTTGTTTCTTTATGAAGTATTAAATAATCACATTTTTCTTGTGTTTTGATAAATGCAGATATGTGAAGAGGCTTTGTTTCTTGGATGCTGAGTTGTGATGTACCTTTTGAAATAAATTACACACATCATTATTGAATTTATATTTTTTAACCCTGTAAATAGTGTGGTCACCTTTATCTTGTCATGAGATTGTTTTTTTTAGCTTGACTTATTTTAGCTTATAATTTAAATTATGTTATTTTTTATGTTCTTCATTTATGTAAATATCATTCTTCATAAATGGAATTTCATGAAAACAGACTAAAATAAGTAATTACACAAATTTTGCCAATAGAAGTTGTTTAAATACATCATCAGCAGTTCCAGAAACCTGTGCCAATTAGAAGGTTAATTATGTCCCCCCCTAGGAAGATTGAACCAAAAGAAAAGGAACTTTTAAATTTTACAACAAAAAATTTTAAATTTTATGTTAATGTGCTTAAGTTTTTTTTTTTTTTTTTTTTTTTTTTTTTAAGTTTTATATTTCCTGTTCGTATATTTTGAGATATTATTGTTTATCATACTATCTTTATTACTGTACAAACTAAATTAATTTTAATCTTAGGATGGCTCCTGAAGTAGCTGCTGTGGAACGAAAAGGTGGTTACAACCAGCAATGTGACATATGGGCTGTTGGTGTCACTTCAATTGAACTTGCTGAATTACAGCCTCCTATGTTTGATTTGCATCCAATGAGAGCTTTATTTTTAATGTCAAAATCAGGTTTTAAACCACCACAGCTGAAGGACAGAAATAAATGGTAGGCATTATTTTTTATTGTACATTCCAAGATATTTCTTGAAAGGAGTATTTTTTCAATTTTATTGAAAATGTGCATTTATGAACGATTGTAGTCAATAATGATAATAATAATATAAATTGTTAAAATATTAATACAGTTGTGCTCTCATATCCCCAAATAGTAAATTTCGATACAGTGAAAATACCTGCAACAGTGACTGATTGGAAATACTGTATTACATGTGATACTTGTGATATGTACAGATGCTGTCTAGCTTAATAGTTCTCAACCTGTTTTGACCCATGTACTCTTTTCAGCATTGCTAGAAGATCATTACTTTCTTAACAAAACTCCAAAAAATGCATATTTGTTTATTTAGATTTGGATTACTTTTTAACTGCATGGGAGGAAGCAAGTGGAGTCTGACTGCCTGCATCTCACTAAAACTATGAAACTTTGTTATGGATAAGAACCCCTGGTCTAGCTTAATTGGTAAACTGAACACAGTATGATACTTTTGACATAAAATATACTGTAAGCTTGTATTACTAAAGGCATGGAGTATTATTTCTGAGTATTATCGTATTTGACGGCATGTAAGACATACTTTTTTCCCTAAATTTGGTCTCAAAAAAGTTACCTGCATCTTATACGTGAAGGACACAGGTTAGCCAGTTAGTTTATCCGGGCTAAAAATAGCTTTCACAACTGAATGCTATTTTTAGCCCGTATAAAGGTCTAGACACACATAACTTTTTTCTACATCTGCCATAATTATTTTGCGCATGTGTGAAATATCTGTCGCCAAACAGCGGCAAAGCTCGAAGCTGATGTCGAAGTTCGAACAGGTTCAACGGTCACATTACGTCTATGGAGCCTTTCCTTCTTTACATAGACTTTCTTTGACTCAGCCGACACACGTGTCGGTATCGGTGCTACAGTGTATAAACGTGTTGGTATCGGTGCTTAAAACTATTTGTTTAAAAAAATACCCTGTAAAATATGACTACAGGAAACAAGAGCTATACAATTCAGTATAAACTAGGAGTGTTAAACTACGCCAAAGTGCATGGGAACAGAGCAGCAGCAAGGCATTTCGGTCCACCACCTACCGAAAAAATTATATATACTTGAAGATCAACTGAAGATTGCTAAAAAACAAAAACATAACCTTCGATGCCCAGCTCCATCTTGGCCTGAACTTGAAAATGCCGTAAAAATGTGGGTGATAGATAAGAGGAAATCTGGGATAAGTGTTTCAACCAAACTGATAATCAATGAGGCCAAAGGATTTGCAGAAAAACATGGGAATCAGAACGATATTCTTGTTTTCGATGATGATAGTGAAAAGGATTTTTATGGTTTTGAAAGTGATTAAAGTTTAATTTTGTGATAGGCAATGTTTTCCTTGAATCTGTGTTTTTTGCTGTTTCTACTTTATTTTGTATTATGCTTGATTGCTTGCCATTCATTCATTTATTCATTATTGAAATTTACATATCATGTTCAAAATAGCTTGCCGTTTGTGAATTTTCTTAAAAAAATATGTTTGGTAATTGCATTTAATGTCTGTTTATTTGGCTTTTAACGGAACATGAGAACTAAAAGAAACCACATTTTAAGTTATTGTGGTCTCACACGGACTATTGAAACTTTTTTTCCTTTTGTGTGGCCTTCTAAATAAGGGTGCGTCTTATATGCCGTCAAATGTGGTATCTCCATGAAATTAAGAAATTCTGACTTTTTAGCCTAATCCTTAAAAGAGAGTATAGCAGTGAAGTGTTCACTCTGTGAAAGACTAGTACTTTAGTGAGTGGCCAAAATAAAAGTCATTATTTTTCCATTCCATTGAAACTTAAAGTGTGGGTACTGAGCATAACTAAATTTTATTATTTTAAATTGTTAGTAGTCACAATATTTTAGATATCTTACTTTTGTTAATTCTCAAGAATCAGCAACATCAGTTTAGAGAGTAAATGTAAAATAAACAAATTTTATGTAGCTTAAAGCAATATAAGTTAATTTGTACTGATTGATACAGGGTTTGTCTAGAGCACATCCATTCACATTTTGTCTATTAATAATAATTTACTCTTGTAACATGATTTGGTATGCTTTAAAATTCTGGCATATATTTTGTGTGAAGACTGCACAGTTTTCTTTATTTCTGTTTTCCTGTTTATACACGTGTTGTTCTTGGCTGTTAATGTTCCTCGTGTGTCTTCTTTCCTGCTATTTTGTGTGCATTTAAAATATTCAGACATGATGTTTTCTAACCGAATATGTTTGCAGCTTTTTTTGACTGAGGATAATAAATCCTAGTTCCTCTTAGAAAAGCTTCCTGAAATGATTAATGGGATGTAGTTCCTTTTTTGTAAGGAATAATTTCTATTTTTCCATTATATAAGCAAAAGTACTGTTTTAAGGCTACTGAAGTGGTGTTAATAGGAATTCAGGTTCAGTTGCTATGTGATAGGTACTCTTGTAACTTCTGAAAAATTGTTCTTAAACTATGTTTCTATTTTTTGTTCTGTAGTCTAGTAACCAGTTGATGAGCGATAGTTGATTGAGCAGTGACAAGTAATCAACATTCCAGCTTATCCTGAAGATCCTACTTAATGTTATGGCATTTGTTTGCCCATTTAATTTTGTATATTTTCAGATGATGGAATAAAATTGACTTCCATTGTGAGCAAGTTCAGTTGACATGCTGTAATGAGAAGGAAGGATTTCCAAAATGCTGCCATGGTATGCAGTTCAGAACTTAAATATTAAGAAGTAAAAACTGAGAAGCTAAATTCGGAATAAGAGAAAACTTAATTGCTCCTACCATGTGTTTCTCGCATTCAGAAATAACATTATCTAAAGCCATCAAATTTTGAAAAATGTACTCCTCCACCTGATTATGAGCACTTGAAAGGCCAGATCTGGAACTTGTTGTAATGTCTGTGCCATATTTATCATATCTGAAATTCTAAAGATATGCACAAATAGTTTTTCTGGGCTAACGCTGTTTTGGGCTAAAAATCATCACCCGTTCCATCTTTCATCAACAGGAAACACCCTTGCTGCAGCATGATTTCCATTTCTTTCCACAAACTAAATGACTTTGCATTTGAAACCAGCACTGTGCTGTTTTGTTTGGCAGGAACTATGCCTTCGATGTTCACTTGAAAATCACGGCTTCAAATCGTATTTCACCACCTCTGTATTTCATTGTTGGCATGCCAGTTGCACAGTTTTACCTAGCAGTTGCTGCTAGTTGTCTACAAAATTTAAACATGCTTGTTGACTTATGAGATTATATACTGTAAATCATATCTCTTGAGGACCTTTTCCTTATAGCCAGCGACACTGATGTCAAGCAATGTTAGTGTGATCAGCAGCTTGTCGATAATAGCACAACCATCAAGTGCCATCATCTCCTACTGAGTTCCGTCATTGTTGCAGCAATGGTACTGAATTGTTGCAAGTAGTAGTGAATGCTGCCTGATGATTTTGTTTGAGAATAAGTTTAATTTTTTTATCCCAATTTCTTAGGTCTGCTGAATTTGTTATGTTTTGATGTTTCCATGAAGTTTCTTTTCAATGAACTGTGTTTGTGATGGAGGCTTTCTTTGATTTTCTTTTGCTAAAATGAAGCAATAAAAATTAAATTATACATTATTAGATTTGAGGTTCTTGATAGTTATTTTTTGAACCGTTTGGATCTAGTGTCAGTATAAGCACCATATCAACCCCACATAAGAGGATGGTTTCTCCTGCCAAGTTAGTGGCATCCTTTTCGAAATGTAAGGTTGCTAAGTTTCGCATAAATGTAGTGAGAGGCAGCAACATTCTGACCTTAGCTGAGTGATTCCATTCAGTGAAATATTATACAAAGAATTATTAGTTTATGTTATCATGATATGATACATAAAATTCTTTACTGGTTGTTTATGTTCCTCATATTAGAATGGCGCCAAAATGGATGAAGTAGTTTCGATTTTAAATATCCTTAATAAATTCAACCACTCTCTGTCTATTTAAACCAAACTGCATACATTTAATAATAAAACATTCACATGTAAACATTTAGTGTTAATACAGCAATACAGATAAGCTTTAAAATAAGAATTACAATAGTTTATAGGTCATTTACATTTTTAGCGACCAAATTCTATGAACAACAAATCTCAAAAGCATGTTGCCAACGCAGGGCAACGAAAAGTGGAAATTAATTCGATAGGCATGGATGTAAACACTTGTTTTCTTCTTTCTAGGTATTTCTTTCTCCTGATGAGGAGGGACCTTTAGCTGCCCTCGAAATTGATTGTTTCAATATACTTATGCTAAATACAAGGTTGTTTTTACGATTTTGATTGTCACATTAGCGTGTTTCTCTTCTAGTCAAGTAAACACTGGTTGTAAAACATTATGAAAGTAATAAATTGGTTCATTGCAATAAACATTCATGGCAATAGAAATAGAGTCTGACATTCTAAATGAGCACAGGCTTCTCTTTTATAATTTGCACTTCAGCTGCTGAAGAAGAAGATTCTGTGTTTAAACCTTTGGTCTTCAATAACCATTGTTCGGCATGTTATTTTAACTCAGTTTGTTGATGTTACTGCATTGAATAATGCTTGATCGCACATCTGAGGTAAAATGTGGTTTCTGTTACGACTTCCAAGTATTGTATAAATGTACTTATATATTGAATGATAAGAAACTATGCTACTTTCACTAATTTAGATGTAAAATAAGGGCTAGACACAATTTGTTGGAGATAAATATGAGGTATGGTCCTTTTTTTCCTGTTATTCCTTTTTTTGTGTATATATATTTTATTTTTAGTAGTGTTTGATAGGGAATTTCGAAATTTAGGGAAAGATGTAGCATAATCGCATTCTGCAGTTTCTGTTACATGCTTAAAAGCTATATTGAGAAGTTCTGTATGCTTCTCTTACATTTTGTTAAAATATCAGTTATTTTGTGAGAGTAACATTTTAAACCCTTATTATATACGATATTTGTTGCCGGAACAAAACGTTGGCAGCAACAGTTCTGAGAAACACCCTTTGGCGAAATAGGGTTACCAGCTTCACTTGGTAAACAGGCTGAAAGCCAAACAAGAATCAGTTATCGCTCAGATTGGCGAAAGTGACGTTTCCTTTCAAGTGACATTTGCTTCTTCGTGTTGTTTTGTATCGGTCATACGCGTTTCGTTTTAAACTTTATTGTTAGTAATGGAAGATAATAGAAAGGTGATTGCTATCAAATTAATCACTTTGATCTCCACTCTGGCACTTCAAGTAACAGATAAACACACTTCTGGTTATAGTAATCAATTACATCAGTAATAGCCAAATTCTGTATACACTAAAAATAGTTTAAAACGTGTGCTGGATAAGTCTATTTATCAGACATTATTTATGTCCTGGTGACAGCCTTCTGACCTTGACTAACTTTATGGCTCATAATTACTGTTCTGTCCATTCAAACAAACAAACAGAAAAAAAAAAAAAAAAGAAGAAGAAGATCTCTTATGACAAAAGTCTATATGGCTGATATTTACATCCTCACAGCCAGCAAAAACGAAGATCAAATAAAGCATATGAATACATGTGCGAGTTGTTTACTGTCCCATAGAACACTTGGTAATACACCTAAAACACATTAATTATACCAACTCTAGAAATTAGGTGGTGCACATCATGAGTTTGTTTTATGTGATTACGGAAAAGCCTTGAGGGATATCTGCCTAACAGGAGGGATCCCTTTGTAGAAGATTTTTTAAAATTGGCTTGTATACCAGTTACAAATGGGGCAAACCTAGGTAACGTCATGTAGCCAGCCTGTTCGCGGCATTCTAACCTGAGACAGAACTACCAGTGTTCAACGACACTTCGGCCACTAGTAGGCCCGTGCACTTAATTGGAAAGTGCAATTCATTTTGTAAACAGATATGAAGGTGATAATCAGTTGTGCACTGTTTTAAGTAATCAAATGTTATAAATGCACAGCTGTTACATTTCTTATTATTTATTAATCATGTTTTTATTATGTAGATCATACATATGATATAATTATGAATTAACCCAATAACAAAATGTATACACTCTTTAGTACTCAAATACTCATCAATTATTTTTCAACTGATTACATACCCATAATAATTTGCAAAGAACTGATAAGTATAGTTGCTGCCAATTACATAATCGTTATCTGAATTAAAAGTAACTTTAAATAAACTTCTTGGCAATGTTCATTTTTGTATTCATACATACATATATATATACACATCTAATAAGTCATATATTTACATACAGATAGAGAGATGCGGTGGTTTAGAAGTTGTTAATATATATTTATTAGTAATAATGTAATGAATAAGATTTATATTAATGAATGTATATACAAATGTTTCTCATCATGCATAATAATAAATCCATAAATTTCCAATGTTTCATTATGTAGCATTTACAATAAAAGTATAGTTTCTAATGTATTTATAATCCAAAAAGTATTTCATTAATAACATGAAAATAATAGACAAATTTAATGAGTTTTCTCATTATTACATAAGCTATGCTTTTCTTTTTTTATGCATGTTTTATGCTGTTTAAAATGTGTCACTGATTATACAATTAACAATATAAAAGACAAGTAATTAGGAGAAAAGCCGTGCATATACAAACGGATTTAAAAAAATTATTCAACTTAAATTTTGAGAAATAAAATTCTATTATATAACAGTGATAATACACGATCAGCACGAAATGCGACAAATTTAAAACACATTTAGAAAGTGACTCAGGCAGTTGTATTACAACAAAACAGCAATAATTAAATCGGCCTCTATTTCCACCGTCCATGACTTCATAGTGAGAGCCATCGCCATATTGAAAGTTACCCGTGATCCTTCAGAAGCAGAACTTTTGTCTGATTGGTTGAACGTTCGAGGAACACGTCTCCATCCAGAACATTTTTAGACAAGTTTTAAAATGTTGCTCGTAGCCGAGACATGTTCCTTTTAGGTAGACAAAACATTTCTCGGAAGCCTGCCGCTTAAAGCCATGCTACTAGAATCTCGTTTCTCGGAATTGTGCCGGGTAAGCGAGCGCGTCCATAGAAGTGATAGGGCCATTATGTTACTGTATCTTATGCATCAAATAAAAGCTTTCAGGTGTAAATAAAAAATTAACAAATTTAGTAAAATATTAATTTTCCATGCTATTATTTTCATCCCTTGTTTAATAAAACAAAATGTTTTAAATGCAGTGTAATATTGTTCTTTTTTTTTTCAGTATAAATCAATAAGTGAAAGAACTGTTGAATTATTTTTTAAGGTATTTGACCTCTGCATTTGTCTAATAACCACAATTAAAAAATAATGTTGGCTTTAATTTCAGAAGCTCTTTCTAAATTAATTTAAGCATTATCATTTGAAATAACTCTTTCTTTCAGGACTCCTGTTTTCCATCATTTTGTCAAAGTAGCTTTAACAAAAAACCCAAAAAAAAGGCCGACTGCAGAAAGACTATTACAGGTATGGCCAAATGTAGTTTGCATACTGTTATTATTTTAATTACTTAACTAAATGCTTATTTTAATTATTATGTTAATTGTACTGTTATTTCATCTGTATTTAATAATTTTGATGTCTTCCAATATGCTTTGCAAATTCATTTTTCATAGTTAAGCTAACTGATGGTTCAGTTACAGTTATTCCTTCTGCTCTATTTGCTTAACAGTTTCTCTAATGTTCATTAATTGGTGAATAAATTAATCAACAGTTTCACTTAGTGTAATTAAATCAATGAAGTTAACTTTGGTTTTCCTGTAAATTTAAAGCAGAAAGTAGAAAATGTGTTGAAAATAATAAGTAAATTCTGCTTTCATATTGCTGAATATAAAAAAAATTCATGACAGATATATGCATGTTATTAACACTCATTTGAAATCAAGGAAGTCAGCATACTTAAGTGTTAGGAGGGGGGAAGTCAGTATTTGAAGTAATGTACATAATATTTAGGTAAAATACAACATGGGTTTATGTAAATTTCTCCCTAAGCAATTTGATAAATAAGTTGACCTAATATCCCTCTAGGAAAACATTCCAATTAGTAAGGTATTACTTATATTACTACAGAAGTTTCTGATGAAAAGCAAGTTTTATTCCATGCAAAATTTATTTTGACATAAATTTTCAAATTATGTGACAGTTTTACCTGTGGGAGGGGAGTTACAAACTCCATCAATAAAAAATTTGGTACTTTCTAATTAACCACACCCCCACTGAAAAGTGGTAAATTCTCTGGTGACATTGCAGAAAAACATCTATTTGTGTATCTTTCCATGCATTTAAATAATTGAGCTGCCTATTTTTTTTTTAACTTTCATTAAAAAAATAAAGTGCATTTTTTGAGAAATTTTTCTGTACTGTTTTTGTGCTGTTTTCCCAGTGTACACAGCGCTCTGTTTTCAGTAAAAAGAGATCAAAGAACTGCACAAAATCCACATTGCACACCGACAACCAACGCTGAAGAAAGTTGAAACTTCAATGTAATCTCCAGCGTAATGAAAATAAAAGAAGGAAGATACATATGGAAGACAAAATAATACAAACACCTGTGAAATAATGGAAAATTTTTATGAATTCGGGGTTGGACCACCCTTTGACTGGAGTACAGATTGAATGAGACATGGTATAGATGCATAAAGGTCATGGACAATATTTAAAGGAATATTAAGCCATTCCTCCTGCAGAGCAGTCTCTAATTCTGAAAGTCCGGCTAGAGATTGAAATCGAGAACGAACATTTATGGGCATATTTGGACTCCAAATATGCCCATAAATGTTCAATAATATTTATGTCCAGAGACTGAGGGGGGCTAAGTGAGATGTTCAATTGCATCATCATGCTCTTCGAACCATTCTGGAGTACACCTAGCAGTGTGGATAGGGGCATTGTCATTTTCAAAAAGTGGTTACTCCCCAGAGAATACAGTCTGGACATAATCCTCTAGAATGCTTAGATAGTAATTGGAAGTGATCTTCCTATGCAGAATAACAAGTGGCCCAAGACCGCGCCAAGATATCACACCCCATACCGTAACGGCAACACCCCCGTGTTTCACAGTCGGCAAGAGGCAGTCAGAATGAAATGCTTCTTTGAGCATTCTCCAGACGTAAACGCGTCCGGTAGTCTGAAATAGGGTGAATGACGATTCATATGACTATATTACCTGTTGCTACTGCTGTGGGGGCCAGCCTTTGTGATCTCTGCACCATTGGCGTTGCTTTGAAAGCATTAGTTGTTGTCACCAAGGGTTTACAAATTGCCACTCTGCCATAAATGTTCAAGCATGAATTCCCTTTTGACGTTTTTGTTGAAACGGGTCCTGGAGATGACTGTTCATTGGATGTTATATTGGATAACGATTGCTTGTCTTTCGGGCTACTATGCGCTTTAAGACCTATCTATCCCTATCAGTCATCTATCCCTTCTTTTGTGGCGCTGTCATAACCTGATACTGTACCTTTGCACACCCACAAGGTTTGTGTTTCCGTAACTGACCCCACTAGCACAAAATCCTTGGGATATCCCAAGGATGTGCTGCGGTATCGCACATCCTCAGGACATCCCGGAATATCCCGCGAACCTCCTAAACACTCTCCCGAGTGCTTGATGTCCATCCCGGGATCCTCAGGACATCCTAACAAGTCCCATTGACAGCGTGGGGATGTATTAGGATATGAACTACTTACTACATCCTCAGGACATCCCGGGATGCCCACAAACCTCCTAAGCACATCCCATTATATCCTAAAACATCCTATCTATGTCCCATCGACAGCATATGGGATGTTATTAGGATTTAAAGTCCTACTTACTACATCCTCAGGACACCTGTAATATCCCAATTTCCTCCTAAACTCATCCTCCTGAACGCTTAATGTCACATCCCAGTAATCCTTGGACATCCTATCTAGTCCCACCGACAGCGTATGGGATGTTATCAGGATTTGAAACACTAGTTACAATCCCTTAACCTCTTAAATACATACTCTCAACTGCTTAGTGTCACATCCCAGTATATACAAAGAAAAATTCCAGTGAAAGTATGTGAAGGTGTGTGATGATCTAAAACCTACTTTTTTTTACACGGATAGTCTCAAATCGTTCTCCTATGGTTACTATGAAAAATCAGAAATGTTGAAATATTTATACAACTTATTTTGTTTTAAAATCTGAATTTTGTGAATATATTAAAACTGAGCAAGGAATTAAATGAATTATTAATACAAAATATTAAAACTGAAAATTTTGCTTTTATTTTTAAGATATTAAAAATCTTTTGATCATTTTTAAACATCCAATAGCCCCCAAATTGAATTATTCATAATTAAATTATTTTACAAATCAATTTCTAATTTCAGTTTGTATTAAAAAATTGAAATAATAAAATTACCCATTTAATAATCTTTACATAAATGAATCATCTTTTTTAAAACATAAGGATTTATAGTGTTTTGATGACACTGTTGGGAATGTTAAAAAGAATAAATTGTATTTTTAAACTAAATCAATTCCTAGCCTCAGAATAAATAAATGTTTTCGTAACATGAGAATGCTGCAGGCTTTTTTATATATTTAATATTTAGTGTAAAAATTTGACAATATGTTAACAATTCTTATATCATTCAAGGTAACTCAAGAAGCTCTTCTAAAATTCTATCTTTCTGCTCACACAATAAAAAAAAATCTGAAAGCCTCATTAGCAGTCACTCAAAGAGCTAAAGTTTATGAATGCTAGATTATCAATACAGATGGGGCAGTGGAATAGCAAACATTTTATAAGATACTGACACCAGAAAGTTATATATCTTTATAATTTGAAAATGAAGAAATATATCATGTATTATGTAAAATATTAAATGTTTCATTAGATATATCATGAATTAAATGCATTTAATCAATCAGATTAAAAATTTAAAAAAGCATTGTTAACAAATGTGTGTAATGCTTTTAAATAGCTTGGCTTGTTATCAATCATATTTAGATTTTAAAGGTAATATTTAAAATTTGCAAATGGCAAGACTTGAATGAAAAGCAAAACAAGTTTCGACTGACAATGAAGTCACATTCAAAACTAACAGCCCTTTAGATTAAAAAAAGTTCTGAAATAATTTGCAATGATTCATTGGCATTATTTTACGTCAGTAAAATGAAAACCCTTGAAACACCAAATAAACTTGTAAATTCAGCGCAGGTTGTTCATCCTGAATTTTATACTAACCATTCATTTCAGAGCAAAATAAACAGTATGCTATTTTAATGACAATCAATATCAAATTTAAATCTGCATTTATGCACATAGAAAAAACTTCAAAAGATCTACTGTTTACGATGCATTAAGCATTTTATTCTGCTATCAACTCTACCAATTAATTTCATTAAGTATTCAGTTTACTCTTCTGCTCAATATATGCAATGTAAAATTTTCCATAAATTTATTAATTCATTTTATTTGAGGTGAGTTTTATTCAACTCTCAATGTCAACGAGAATATTCATTTTTATTTTGGTCTCAAAAGAGAAATCAAAATACGTGGATTTATGTACGTGTATTATAATCAAATACATGAGAAATCACATTGGAAAAGCACTGCTACCTTAAACTGTGATTATATAACAAATGCAGTGAATTATAGTAAAAAATAGTGAAAATATTATATTTCTGAACTATTTCATATATAACATTTTCAGTTCGCATATGTGACAATTTAGAAATTTACGTATACCAATTTTTGAAATATCTGCAAATTTTTGTATCTTCAAGGAAAGCTTATTCTTTCATTTAGTATATAAGTAATGGTAATTTACCAGATAAAATTATTAATGGGGAATACAAAAAATATCTAACCACTTACCTTTGTGACTTATCTGCAAGAGACTAAAAAGTAGTTCAGCAAATCTGCTATAATAAATATTTACAATAATGCTAAATTATGCATACTATTAATATGACAAATTTTGTAAAGCTATTATTTGGATGAAAAATAAACACATTCAGAAATTTATGGCACTATGTTATGATTAACAGAAGGAAAAACACATTTCAAATTAAAATAGTTTTATTAATCCAATTTATCACATTTTATTTGAATTCATGAAAACAATAAAAAAACACTCACAATTAATTATGTGAATATAATTATAATTAATTTAAACAAATGACTATTAGAATGAATTAAAGGAAGCATTTAAAATATTTAAACATAGTTAGTACCTATAAACAGAGTGCATATTTGATTTTCGATTATAGTAAATAAACATGGGGGATGCCTTTTAAATTTTTTATATCAGAAAATAAACTCAAACCACCAGTGAACATATGAGCAGTTTTACAATCATCCACTGGAGGTAACCTGGTTACTGAATCAACATTAAAGTTGCCATGATAAAGGAGAAACAAATTATGATAATCACATCTTACCTATTCATAAAACTATTTTATTTAATGTGTAGGCAAGTCCAAAAGAG